CCCCCTTCTTGCTTACTATCCTCTTCAAATAAAAACTTGATCTCTAGTGACCTTAAAGGTCAAGAAATACCTTTTCTATCTATGGCAAGAAAGTTTCGAAAGGAAGAAGAACTAATATGCTGCTATTTCATACTGTAGAGAAACACCACAGAAGTTCTGTGATGATAAAAGACAACTTTTCTACTCTCTTGTCATCTATTCTGGCTTCTTATAGTGCTCATTCTTGATTTTTCTGGGGAATTTTGCCACCTTAGTTTGACCCTGAATTTTGAGTATCACAAAGTTTCTCATACTGTGATTGGGCAGACAGAGCTCACATTAGTAAAAAGAACTAAACAAGCTCCTATTGGTTACTCCACATATTCAAATGTATTTCCTCAGCTCCATAATAACCTGTGGTCCATCATAAGTCATTGTGTTGGTGCGGGTGAATAATGAACACTGTTTACTCCTACATCTTTGGCTAAGCGAAAGAAAAAGAACATACTCTTCCCTTCCCTCTATCAAGAAAGAAGAAAGAAGACCAGGTTCAAAGGAATACAGAACGAGGACGACACCTTAAAAGTGCCACACCTATTCTTTATTTGCATAAATATTGGGAGATCAAGGAGATCCTAGGATCATTTGTACCTAATCAACAACACCAATATGCAGTCGGATAACCCGTAGTGGAGCATCCATCACATTGGAATATTAGACATATGGTTCAATCTCTATAGATAGTAGTACTTTGGGAAAACAGCATGATATTTATCAAGTTCAACAAGGCGCATGCTGGAAATACCAAGATTCTTCTTTCTAGGCTGAAGTCATTGCAATAATAAAGAAGGACAGATTGTTGAATAATGGGTCCCTAATTATCCCAATGCCCATTCACCTTCCCCTATGTCCTAGAGCCCTCCGAAACCCTCCGACTTATCATCACCCAAAAAAACATTTGTAGAAGATCCCATACTGGATAGGGTATAGAGGGAAAAGGCAAGAACTGATAGATAAGGATCACAATATAGAAGTACTGAAAGCAATGAAGGAACAGGCATTGTGCCTTAAACTGATGAAGCCCTTAAAGAGTAACCAGCCCATGATATCAATATAGTAATAGTAGCATGGTTCCAAGTCACCTATAACCAAACCATTTCCCTTTCTTCGTCCAATGCCTTTTTTGTAATGCAGAATCTTCACCCCTATTTAAATTTGTATAGTCTTGGTTTTATTTCTTTCTTTTCTGGATGTAGATGGTAGAGTAGGGTATCGAACACATTAGTCAACAGATCAAATAGTCTGTGGTAAACATAGATTCATTACACACAATAATCCCCTATATAAAATTTTTTATTGCCCTAATGGTCCCTTATTAGGTCTCTGTTTGGAGATAGCTTAGCCATGAAGTGGTTCCAACCTATCATTAGTTTACTAGCTTCTCATTAGTTTTTCTCTGATCATATGTACCTATATGTTAAACTTTGCTAATAAACTTGACCAAGCCAGTCAAAAATAATAATAATAATAATAATAATAATTTATAAAATTTATAATATATTTTTCAAAATAGTTTTTTTAAACTTTAAAATAAAATTTTATAATAAATATTTAATAAATTATTAAATAAACTTTAATAAATAATTTTTCAAATTTTAAAAATCATATTTTAAAAATTTTTAATAAATTACAATTAATTAAATTTTTTTAAAAGCAAGTGTCCTACACTATATTTAATTTATAATTATTTCTATAGATTTATAATAAAAAAAATCATATTAGCTTAATAATAAATCAAAAAAAATATTTTATTATTAATTTTTTTAAAAATTAAAATATTTTTTTTTTAACTTGCAACTCTGTTATATGATTTGATCTTTATTGAAAAGTTATATAACTATCTACAATATTGCAGATTTTTCATATAATAATTAACTCATCATTATACTAAAGTACTTTATGTCAAATCTAAGAAACAATATTTTACTTTTCTAGAGAATTGATAAATAACATCTATTTACTAGTTTCATTATTAATAGTTTGTCACTGTAGATTGTTTATAAACTATAAATTGCCAAATTAAAAAGAAATTGAAAAAGGGAAACAATTCAAAACTTATCAAAAAAATCCAAAAAGAAAGCAATCATTCTCTCAAAAGAGATCTGTCTGATTGAGATAATCTTTATGCTTCTTTTAAGCCTCAAAAAATCTTTTTTATTACTATTTGCATTATTGGATTAGTCAATCCAACTGATCTTTCATTTAAGTAAGCACCGAATTGAGATATTTCAAGAAAAATATTTAAAGTTCAGCTTTTGTTTATTAAAATTTTGTCACTATCTAAGAAACTTAGAAAAGAGATAGGAATTTACAATCTATATTATTTATCTCTTGTTTTTTGATATTATGGATATTTTTGTTAAGAGACTTAAATTTCTAAAAGGTGAACATTTCTGAAACATTCTTTTCAATTGTCAGTGATATTATCAAGACATATGAGTATGATCAATAGGAGCTTGTTTACATTTCAAAAACTAATATGTTTTATGTTAACAATCACCTTTGGTGAGAATTTGTACTATCTAAAATTCAGGGTCAAACTAAAACAAACAAAATTTCTTAGAAAACCATAAAAATAGAAGTTTTAAGAGGAACTAAATAGTCAGAAAAGAAGAATATAAGTCTTTTTATTGCAATAAAATCTTTATAACCTCTTGCTTCAAAGGTTAAAAAGATCTTCAGATACTTCACAATCTGGTTTTCTTCCTTTAAAAACTCTTTTGTCATTGATAACAAAGATATTACTTGACTTTTCTTGATTACCAAAAGTCAAGTTTTTAAATAAAGAGGTTTATAAACAAGAGTGAAAGTGTAAAAATGACTCATGAAGTTATATTTCAAGTTGTTTTAATAAAAGTATTAAGACTTTATTAGCAAAGAAGTAAAAAAACCTCTTGCAAACATCTTTTTTGTATATGGTCAAAGGATTAGTAAAAAAAATAAATTTGTTATTATCTATAAATACTATATATAAAATTTTTTATAAAATTTGTATTATACTTTTTAAAATAGTTTTTTAAACTTTTTATAATAAATTTATCAACAAATCATTAAAAAACTTTTTTTAGATTCTAAAAAACATTTAAAAAATTTTTTATATTAACGAAATTTTTTTTGATCTAGTATTTTTGTTACTTTAAAAAATTCATAATATATATTGTACTGTATATTCTGTATATCATGGTTATCAATAACAAATCCAGCGTTTCCGATGGTGCATAGCTTAACCTGCATAACTGAACCTGCAGTAATCAATAGCAAGCATTACCTAATATTACAAATCAATCTACTGTAGATGTTTGCGTGACTTTTCTTTATTGAGATTCGGCCCGTGTATAAAATAAATGGCATCTAGATTGGATTGGATTTTTATCTCTCTCATTGTCTCACATAATCTGGTCTGCAACCACTTTTGGAAGTTAAAAGCATTTTGGCTTAAATTTTAATAAAGGAATTATTGCAGTTGACAGTTCAAGCTCATTTATAAAATTTCATTTTATTATTACTAAATTCCGTGCAAAATACGCTTTGATAAGGCAACACCACTTAAAAAGATAAAATTTAACTTCACGAAATTATATACAGTATAAGTGTCTTTTATCATCATTGTAATTTCTAATTGAATAGATCCTTAAATAAGGCAGCGTGATTTGTATTATATTCCTAAACCGATAAAGTCTAAATGCTTACGGAAATAGGTGTGACAGTTTTATATGAACTAGTCACAAATAGAAATTCGGTTACTTTGTACTTTTTACAGTGTTGATTATATTAGACGGATTGACTTCTATTTAAATTCATTTTCTAACTTATCACTGTCTTCAAGCAAATGGAATTGATAAAAGATGGAATTGCCCTCTTCTGATCCTTACTTCGATGAAATTTTGGTATCCGATCTTATACATTCATTCGATTGGTCATCAACTTCCCTAGGTCCTATGAACTCTTGGAACTCTTCTTTAAAAACGATTGTGGTATGCATTTGGAGTTAATTTGGACGTCCGAAGAACCATGGATATAAAAACTACTAAATTGCTTCTTTAAATATTTTATAATAGGATTTATGTCTACATGCCGTATTCCCTATTGCAATATTTTATGGTCCGGAATATATTATGATATATAATCAAAGTAAGTAGATTTAATTATATAAATGTATCAACTATCTAAAGAAACTCAACCCTCGTTCAAATAGTGTTTCGACCCATATTAAAAATGAAGCATCCTGCAGGTATTATTCTAATTAAATGATTCTAATAAGCTAATTACTCAAGAATTTTGCATCTATTTTTGGATCTGATAGCGTTAGGTTCTCCTGCAAGCGAAGTTTTTAATGAAATTTTTGACGAATTTGGACGAAAGCTTAACGAGTGTGTAGTTATCTTTCTTTTTTTTTTTTGCCTACATATTCATCACATATACGGAAAATAGTCATTCTGGAAATGTCAATTGATTCAACTTTTAAAATTAGGATAGTTTCTAGTGGCAAGGGTCGATTCGAGAATGATACGTTCATCCAGATGCACCGAGAGGGTTATATGGAAGAATGTTATTTTTCACTTACTCTAAGTCCTATATTCAAGGAGGATGGAACTGTCGGCGGTGTATTTAACGCTGTTCAGGAAACAACTCGACGGGTTTTAGCAGCTAGAAGATTAAAAACCTTGAGTGAGCTAGGAAATAGAACGCCCGGTATATATTAATATGCGATCAAACATTTAATTTATTATACTTAACTATATATTATAATTATATTGTAGGTGCTAAAACGATGGAAAGTGCTTGCCATCTCGTGGTGTCTGCGTTACGTGATCACAATAAAGATATCACTTTTTCGCTAATCTATATTATTAAAAATTGTGAAAAAGAATCTAATATGAATAGTAAAAAAGCACATCTAATAGCCACAACTTTTGATAATGGCCTCGAAGTAGTAAAGGGCGATGATCAAACTGAAGAGTTAGTTTTTGTTAAAGGAAAATCAACAAGAGAGTTACCGGACTTCTTACCAGATACTTTTGAAACGATAGATCTCCAATATAATGACGATAATTCATGCCACAAGGTTTTTAACGATCAGGAAGCAACGCTGAAATCAATCTTGAATTCATCTGCCATAAAACTACCTGTATGGCCCATAGAACAAGTGGCAACATTAAATTCTCAACTAGTTATTACCTTAAAAGATAACTCTCGGGCGATTCTTTTACCAGTGTACACGTCTTTTGCGGGAAAAACAACATTAACCGCTATAACTATTTGCGGGTTGAATCAGAATCGCGCTTTGGATCGAGAATATTTGGAATTTTTAAATGTTTGTATTAAAAATTCATCAATCAAATTAGTTCTGTGGATTGAATTTGGAAGAATAACACGTCTTAGTTGACGTTGTTCCGGCTTCGGCTTCCATTTTTGATAGTTTTATTGGTGTTCGTTGACTAATTGAATTTCATTACCTATGCGCTAAAGCTCGTTGCTGGTCATGTGAGTTCAGGCCTAGCACATGGTCGATCACGCGAAGAGGAGAGAAAACAAGCCGAAATTCTAGCAGATTTAAATCGTCAAAAAATAATGTTTTTCCAAAATATTAGTCATGAGCTGAGAAGTAAGTTTTTGTTAAATTTATTTAATTATAATATGCTTTAAATTATTAAATTAAGAAATTAAATTATTTTGATCCGAATGACAGCGCCATTAACGTTAATACTTTCACCGCTTGAAGAGTCGATTAATGCTTGCACCCCAGAATCACCTATTCTTTCTAATTTACAACTGGTCAATCGAAATGCTCGTCGACTACTTAAACTTGTTAATACTTTGTTGCAGGTTAGTATTTAAAAAGGCTGCTTTACTAATACCATGGTCATTATTTTATGTATTTATTCCTCGTGAACCTTAGTTTTCGCGAATCGAATCGGGCAGATTTGAGGCCCAATTCCGAGAGACCGATATTGTGAAGTACACTCTGGAATTAGCTTCAAGTTTTGAAAGCATGGCGGAATCTTTAAAATTAGACTATTTTATTCATATTCCAAGTCACGAAGAATTTTATAGTAAATTAAAACAGAAAGTATTTATTGACAGAGACATGTACGAAAAAATAGTATTTAATTTATGTGAGTAATATTCTTTTCGAACACTTTTTAGTTAATAAATTATCCTTATTAATTTTTGCGATTTGTTACTATAGGTTCAAATGCGTTTAAACACACTTGGACGGGAAGTGTTTCAGTTCGTTTATATTCTGATCATAAGGATGAGAGGGAAATGATTATACTGGAGGTCTCAGATACAGGTATTATAATAATAAAACAAGTATTCGTATATAATCCGTATTTAAGTTATTAATCTTAAAATAATCGGAATTACATCAAAAAGGCGTAGGGATTCCAGAAAAAGATATTGAAAACTTATTTCAGCGTTTTTATCGCGTAGAGTCAAGTCAATCTCGTAGTTATGAAGGTACCGGCATAGGACTTGCATTTGTAAAGGAGCTGATAATGAGACACGATGGTGAAATTTCCGTATATTCGGAAGTGAAAAAGGGTACTACTTTCCGTGTATCACTACCAACGGGTTGGGCACATTTACCGGAAACACAAGTATACCATGAAAAAAATGAATTTGAAATTAATTCAATGGAAAAATATTCGGTTAATGGACGGAATCTCTATATTGAAGAATCACATCAATGGATACAAAATGGTCCCGATAATGAATCAATTGATATCAATAATGATAACGCGGATGATATTATGGACTTAGATTGCCTAAATACCTTAAACGATTTAGTGTTAGAGAACAAGAAGGAGGATGTTCAAAACATCTCCTTACCTTTGTTGCTTAACGATATATCTAATGCGCGCAAAGTTTTTTACGTTCTTGTCGTCGATGATAATACGGACATGAGGTGTCATTAGAATTTTTTGTTACATTGGCTAAACTCTTATTGAAATCTTGACTAAGCTATTATAATTTAACATTTATTATAAGAAACTATCTCTATAGTTTATTACAAAAGGAATTTAAAGTACGCAGCGCTTGCGACGGTCGAGATGCCTTAAGAATATTAAAGAAATTTCCAAAGAAACCTGACTTGATCTTAAGCGGTAAGGAGTATTATATATATGATGTAAATGCATTTATTATTCACGCTAACAGTTAAAATTTCCATCTTGTAGATGTTATGATGCCAAATATGGACGGTTTGGAATTCTTAAAGGCACTTAGATCTGATCCAGTAACTCAGTTAATTCCCGTGATTTTTTTGTCTGCTAAAGCGGGTGAAGATGCCAGCGTAGAAGGTTAATGATTTATTTATACCCCTTTATCTGCAGCAATAGTCATTTAATTTTTTTTTTATTTTCTTTAGGATTGGAACATGGCGCGGATGATTATTTAATTAAACCATTTAGTGTCAAAGATTTAGTTGTTCGAATTAAAGCGAACATTAAACTCTCACATCTTCGTCAACAACTTTTGCTACAACAGAAACAACAATCGGAGACTCGAGAGTTATTATTCTCAATAAGTGACAAGATTCGCTCTGGATTTGATATAGAAAAAACGTTATCTATAGCTAGTGAGGAAATTAGTAGAATATTACCCTGTGAGAGAATATTTCTTATTAAAATTGATTCCGTAAATTCAAGTGAAGGTTATATAGTGGCGTTCTCGGCCTCTGATCCAAACGAACAAAATTTAGCGGGAAGAAGTTTTTCGTATTCATTATATGATGAAAAAGATATTCAGAAGTTATTTTCAAAATATAATATTGTTGAAACGGGTAACAAGGCGTTTAAAAAGCTCCAAGATGCGTTAATGGATCATAATGAGTATGTAGTGATGGAAAATTCCTATTCCTGCGTAGTTGGCCGCTACGTCTCTGTAATTACTATGCCAATTAAAACAAATTCATCAGCGTGGGGATGGATAGTTGTTAATAGAGCACCAAACGAAACTTGGTTGGATTCAGAGAAGGTCTTTATTCAGCAAATTTCAAATCAAATTGGCTTGGCGATAACACATGCAATGCTTATGGAAGAAAAATTAAAAAAGGAGGCTCAGATGGAAGCTGCAAAAGCAGCTAATGAAGCTAAAGGACAAATTTTAGCAAATACCTCTCATGGTAGGTTATCCACAATTCTTTTTTTTTTTCTTGCTATATTAGCTTTAGAATTATCTAACGCATGCTAAATTCTCAACAGAACTTCGAACGCCGTTAGGGGCAATAATAGGACTTTTGTCAGCATTTGAAGATACTCCGTTAACTAAAGACCAGAAAGAAATGGTTCAAATAATGACACGCGCATCAGATGTTGTTCTTTCTGTGATTAACAACATCCTTGATGCAGCCAAACTTGAGGCACAGAAGATTGCGCTTGTTAATAGAAAATTTGATTTACTGCATGTGGTTGAAGAAACTCTAAACATACTTGGAGAAAAGGCAGGCACTAAGCAGCTTGAGTTAATTTTATGTTATGAACATGAATCTCTTCCAAAATACGTAAAGTCAGATCCCGATAGGTATGACCAATAATGTTAACGATATTATATTTTACGAAAAAGAATTAAATTGGCATCTTCAAAAACTAGATTACAACAAGTTCTGATAAATTTACTGTCTAATTCGTAAGCTTATGTTTAATAATTACCTCTTCTCATTTTATATTATATATATTTTAATTTTGAGATAAATATTTTAACCATTAATTTAAAGTATAAAATTTACAGAAACTGGAGAAATAGTTCTTAAGGTTTCAATGGCTTCATCCGACAAATCCGTGATTAAGGATAATACCAAAAAAAGCACAATATATGTGGAACTAATTGATACGGGTATTGGGTAATTATTTGACCCAAGTTATTTTTCTTTAGATATACGCATCGAACTATCATTACAACCTTACATAACATTTACGTTCTATTTAGCATTGATCCCAAATTTATGAAACATATATGGGAAAGCTTTTCACAGGCAGATGCCACTATAACTAGACGCCAGGATGGTACAGGATTAGGTCTTTCGATTTGCAAACATCTGGTGACCGTAAACGGAGGAGAATTAGGAGTTACAAGTGAATTAGGGAAAGGAAGTCGGTTTTGGTTTACTTGGAACGTCGAACCATTAACTGTTAACCAATCTAACTTGGCATCCCCTCCAGCCGTACGATCTGAACGCATTCTTGTGATTGATCCAATTTATATAGCTCGTGACACTTTAGTTAGATTCATAGAGAGTCGTGTTAAACGAGTTGACGCGTTCGACACCGTCGAAGAGGGTATTATATCGGCGAAAATGTGGAAAGAACAACGCAACGAAATATATGATCTCGTCTTTTTTAATATTTGCAGAAATAATACAGACGATATTAGAAAGGCATTAAGAGAGTTAAGAATTGTATGCGGAGATCACTTGTGTATAGTATTGATGGTCTTTTGGTCCACTAGAGGGCGTATTACGGGAGAAGAGATAATGAAAGAAGTCGGAGGTCGAATTATCACCTTATATAAACCTATAATGCAGAATCGAATTTTGGATTATTTATATAATAACGAAAACTTAAATTTAACGTCTGATAAGCTTAATGGCTACAGCGCTGTTAAATCATTAACGGAATTAAGAGTGGAAAAATATTATAATGATAATCGATCTTTAACCCACATCAAAGATTTATCTGTAGGGAATTTGCCGACAAATAAAAATGATAGCGAGGATACTACTATGCCAATTATTGAAGAATCAAATAACGAAAAATCTAATAGAGATTTAATGAACTCTTCTGTAGATGAGCCATTAAAAAAAACGTCTTTGAAAAGAATGTCTTCTGAGGATGAGGACAACAGAACTCTTGATTATGGGCACGTATTAAAATCCAGAGCGCGTCCTACTTTAAGATCAAAGTGCGTGTTATGTGTGGTATGTTTTCACTTTAAATACTATCGCACAATATATATATGTTATTTAATGATGTTTGATTATAGGAAGATAATCCCATAAATCTAAAAGTTATACAACATCAGCTCACGAAACTCGGATATCAATCGCTGTCAGCAACAAATGGACAAGAGGCCGTAAATTTAGTGACCGAATTTTCTAACCGTCTAAATAACAAGTGCACACTCATATCTTCATCAAATTTACCTTCCGATAGCTACGAAAATATTTCTTTAATTCTAATGGATTGTGCAATGGTAAATTCATGATTTGATGTTTTTGATCGTTTTCATATCATGTACATAATTTAATGCCTCGCTTTACACCTTTTGTGTATTGCAGCCAGTAATGTCGGGTTATGATGCTTCGAAAGCCATAAGAGCAATGGAATCACCGATATCACAAATACCAATTATTGCGTTAACGGCATCAGCTATTCAAGGTTCAAGAGATAAATGCCTCGAGTCAGGGATGAACGATTTCCTCACAAAACCGTTAAAAATATTGCAACTTAAAGAAATGCTAAATAAATGGTTAGGAAGTTATGATTGATGCTAAATTTCTTTATACGAGGTTTAATTATATAACATTTCGGAATTTTTTAGTCTTCTAAGCATTATAATTAATCATTCCCTTTATTTCTATTATAATTAAGTGTTATTCATTCGAACCTTGATGGTTTAATAATTGGTTAAGTTTTATTCGTTTTTTTTGTAAGAATTCAATTTATTAAAGGAATTGTAAGAACTTAAGATTATTTATCGAATAATTTTTTTATTAAAAAACTATCAAATGATATTCGGCTTTTGAGTTATGCAAGTCGAGCTAGGATAACATATTTACTTTCTATTTATTTTCGTCCAAGAATTTGCGATAAGATCTGTCTTGCTTTTGTTGCATTTAATGTGATTAATGTGGAGAAAAGAATTAAAGATATTTGTTGCTGTTTGAACAAGGCCATATCATCCATGTATGTAAATATAGTTTGGTGGTTGAAGAATTCTTAGTAATCTACTTATCATGAAATCATAAAAGATGGTCCAGAGAAAAGTCTCTCATTGAT